CTCTCTGTGTCTCGCTCCTCTTAGCTCTCTCAGTCTCTCCCCCCAGTAGCTCCGGGCGGGCTGTTTCACGCCTTGTTGAAGATTCAGGATTTCTTTCTCTTTCTGTTTCCGTCTCTGTCTCGGTCTCTTTCTCTCCTATTTTATAAGAGAATGTTGTCTGTGTGAGGGGGGATGGGGCTCAATATGCAATCGACCCCTCCCTCCTTGAAGATCCTATACTTTATTCTCGGAGAAGGCCAAGGTAGGGGATGAGAAATTTAGCAATTTTCTGCTCTCTCTATCTAGAATTGTGGATGGGAAATGATTACCCCGCCTCGGACCCCCAGACCCCCACACTTCATGCCTAGAGATCCTGGCAGTGGTCGGAACTTCTTCCACCTACCATGAAATTAAGGGAGGAGGGCCTACCCTAACATGACTGGACGATAGCACTCATACTTGGAAACACTCAGACGTTAGAGCTTGGATGCTGGAGCTCACACTTGGATACATTCATGTATTTGGACACTAGAGCTCACACTTACAACTGGACACTTAGATACTCACTTTCCTGCTGTTAAGATTCAGGGCCCAGTTCCTTCCAGGAGAATGGTAGGGTGGGAGTGGGAATAGGGATATTTATTGAGAACCCACCACCACCACTTTCCTTCTAGCTTGGTAATTCAGTTTTCAGCAACTTCTCATTTGGAATCTAAGCTTACTCTATGAGAGAGAACACGGAAGGATCTCTGACCTTTTTGCTTTTTCCCCTTGGAGAAGTTTCTGGGCTCCTGGAAAAGCAAACACTTAGATTTGTACGTACATATGTGGTTTTCCCCCAGTTCTTCTGACTCCTCTCTCATTTGGGGAGGGTGTCAGATTGAGAATGGGGAAATGGCGATATGGCCTGGGAAGTTTTAACACATTTGAGTCTTGGGAGGAGTGACCTCATATACAGCATTAACTTCTGTTACTCAGAGTTTCTTTTCCAAAAAACATTTCTCATGATGGAGGTAGGAAGCAGACTGGGATGGACCCAGGGAGAGGTGTTGGGGGGAATTGAAACCAGAGGATTTAAGTTTATTTGGGAAATACAATCAGATTTCCTACAAGCCTGTCAAGAGCAATTTGGTCTGTGGGCTGTTGTGCTCTTGACTAGAAGCCAGGATTCCTGGGTCCCAACTCTCTCAGGAGAGGAGGCATTTAGGATATCTTTAACCCCAACTTTTCTTCTGCTTCTGGAAGTGGTCTTGAAAGGGAAGTATACTCATCTTTCATACTACCTCTCCAGGGAGAGACCTCTTTTCTTCATCTTTCTCTGGTTCTGGTCAGTGTGTCTGTTCCCTTTGACAGAATCTCTTATTGAAAGTAAACCTTAATTTCTCCTGCAAAGGAAAAATTTTGTCACTCATCACCATTGCATTTGTTCTAACCCCTATAGTCCTGAAAGAATACCCCATCCCCCAGTTGTGGGGGCCCCGGTATTAAGGTTGGTAACATGGTTTGGGTTCCAGGGAATGATGGGTTGGTGAACATTCTGTCTAAGTTGACTAGTACTGTTTTTGTTATTCTCATTGTGATACTGCTATTTTCTATGTGATAATTCTGTTATTGATTAGAATAAACCATTGGTCTCCTTGAAATATTCACTGGCCAAAGGGTAAAATATGGTCTGTTTGCCCATGGGACCTTTCTCACCATTTCCACTTATCCACCCCTTCCTAGGAATAGGGGCTGGGGGCCAGGGAGAGGAAAGAAACTCAGGTCTCTGCCCATCTCCCAGTCCATCTCTACTGTTATGTCGTCCCAGTTCCCAGTCTCCCCCCCCCC